GGGGGAAAGATAACGATCTAGAATCGGCGTTATGTCTAAGCATCTTCTTTGCTTATTTTTGGACATTTTTTTCTTTTGGTCCTCGTTTACTTTGCAATTCCCGTCATCGGGGAACCGGACTCCCTTCTCACCGATCGGAATTCGATCAGACATTGAGCCCCGGGTATCCCGGCATTGGAAATTATACGCCTTTTCACCATTTAAATCACCCACACTTACATCGAAGTGGTTTAGTTCGGAGGGTAGGCATACGTAGGCAACTTAAGGCAGAAATAGACAGACCAGAAATAATCAGGTGTGTGTGTGTGTGTGTGCGCCACTCTCATGCGCGCGCACATAATCAGAGACATGGCTTGGATCTTAGATACGACGTATCTAAGAAAAGAAGAGACAGGGTCCTGTCTACTGCTAGTCTGGGTAGATAGCTTGCTATCTAGCAGCTAGCTATCTTTAGTATACGTTTGTTATAGGTGATGTCTCAGAGCTCGCTTCGGACCAGCTGTTCATTGAAGCGAGCTCTTACTTAATACAAAGGGATTAAACGAAATGTAGGGTGGGATTGGAGTGAAACAGCGACTGCTGGAATCCCGGGTTGGCAGGGGAGGAGGAGGAGGAGGAGGTGGTGGTGGTGGTCAAGGGAGAGCGATAAGGGGCGGTTCAGTCGGGTAGGGTTGGTCGGTCGCTTGATTGCTGCAGTACATAGTACATACAGCATATGCAACATCATTAGCAAAAACAAAACCCCCCTGATTTTTGTAATACGACAGAATGAAAGAAAAAGAGAAAGACAAAAAAAAAGACAACAGATCTGCGTAGTTCAGACTGAAGAATATTGTCTGGTTCGTTCTAACAACTACCGAATGTTAGTTAGTCCGGATCCTCAATGCCGCTGAGTAACAATAATACTGTCTGCCAAGCACACGCACACAATTTCCTCGTCAAAAATCGAAGTTGAGCGAGCGCCTGACCCTTGCGATCTTCAGGGTCCGGAAAGAAAGTTCGGAACCGCAGCTGGGCAAGCGTCGACGGACCAAGGTAGCACTGAGTCCCGACTAAGCTCGCTACGGTAGTCGATATCCGAGGAGGAGGAGGGGGGGAAGTTGACCCATTCATCACATCCAAGGGACAGGAACCGAGGAATGGGAATATTTTAGAATGAGACAAGATTAACACCGAAGGGGGGGAAGATATTATTGGGTGGATGGGGAGGGGGTAATCCGGTAACGGTATTGGATACCATAACGGGTAAATTACCCTTTTCGAGGCAGTAAGATTACTCCGGATACGCATATACTTTCTTCCCTTCTTTTTTTTTTTTTTTTTTTTTTCTCTTTTTTTTCTTTTGTACCCTTCTCGGGGTCCATTCAACTTCAAATATTGATTGGAGAAGAGAGAAAGGGTTGTTGTTGTTGTTGGTGAGTGAGTGGGGTGGGGCTATTGTCAAGTAGCCTTCTTAGCTACACGCTAGTGAGGGTTGGGTTCATTCTGGTTTATCGTGCAGAAAGCAGGTGGAGTGGAAGGGGATTGATGGGATTGGTGTAGGGGGTAAGAGTCAGAGTCAGTTAGGTGAAAGATATTGCTCGCTCGGATGTATTCAGCAACTGTCTGTTCAGATTGCACATCATTTTGATAGGTTGTACAGTATAAAAGTGTAGTTCGAGTATCGAAGTGGTGTCACGCAGGACCCAACTAACTCAAATTAACCCTAGCCGATATCGATTCCAATTGTCCATGCAAAGACGCCTTGTCTCTTCCGTCCAACAATACAACTAAACTCAACTACTTTTCTATCTAAACTACCCACCTCGGAGGTATATCCACAGTCCACACTTCCCAGTTCCCACACCATTCACCTCACCAGTCACCACCACCACTAGCAAACGCCAGCTGCGTAAGCAGAGACGTCACTCAGTGGGGTCCGAGATTTGACATGCCGCGCGTAGAATTAGACTAGTCCTCAAGATACGCATGAATTAGCCGGAGACTAATCTGTTTGAGGTCTAATCGCGTTCCCCCTCCGTTCTAGACTGTCGCCCGGTGGCTTGTTGGCTGAAGGTCCGGTTCAGCTATGCTTTTCAGGGCTCAATTCGATGCCACTATCTTCAGGCTAGAGAGTCAGAGAGAGAGAGAGAGTCAGAAAGAGAGGGGACGAAGGGTCAACACGAAGCAACTAGACTGGACCACCTAGTATTAGACTGGGAACATACGTAAGCCACACAAACTACGGGGTAAAACGACCGCTTAATTAGGGACCGATCAGGTGTCGAACCAAACACTAACTAAACCAAGATACCCTGTTTTCCTTCATCGATTCTAATCTACATCCACGACACGGTACACACACCCACACCCACACACAATCCATACTGCCCATCCCATGGTACCTGATGACCCCAGAACGGCCACGATCGTACCGAGGATACAAGTTCAGACCATGTATAGAGCCGATCTCATTGTTTACACTCGTCCCCGTAATTATGCCGACTTCATGACCCTCCGTCTTGGATCATTTCCCTTGACACCTAGATACGTAGGTGCATACGAATGCTCCGGTGCCCAGTGGGGCCCAGCCTAGCGTCGCCGAGCAATTGCTTAGGGCTCTCCAACCAGACTAGTATAGATATGTAAAAGAACGAAGAAATCCAAGATGGAAGCGGGGATACTCCTCCGTTAGCTATTGGGGCGGACTTCAATTAAGGGTTCCCTTAACTTTTTATTTCATTTTTTTTCTCCATTTTTTCGCCTCATTTGCGTCCTGAACCGTGGCATCGAAATTTTTCTGCCTGTTGCTCCTACCCAACTAGTGTGTCCTTCATCGCGGTTAACTCAAGACGAATCGGTGCAAGGCACACACACATCCCCGAAGAGGTCTACGTAGCGTCTTTTCATTCATCCATTCATTCGATCATCCCGCCAGAGGTAATGCGATGTCGTGATGAGGGTGTTTTGACAAAGACGAAGAAGGGGGAGGAGCCCCCGACGTTTCGGATTCCCTTTCCCCCCTTCGGCTTTCCTATTGACTTGACTACGTATGCGTATACGCACCTTCACTATGGACGAATTATTCCAGGCATAATCCCGTACGGCCCAGCACTTTCTTCTTCGTGAGACGGAGGTTACTTTCCTGCGTTGACTGATCTCGATCAGCGCCTTGTAAGTGCGGAGGTCTCGTGCGCGCGCCGCCCATCATGCTGCTGCTGCTGCCGCAGGCCTTACGCAGCCAACACTGGAGGAATTACTCCAACATATCAAGGCTAACTAACTAAATCACGGCGGCGCAGCCTGCAGAGAAGATCATTCCTTCTCGGTCGTAGTGGACGTACGAGTAAATGCCGCTGGACATATGCGTGACAGGATCAGACTGTCGTCTAGCAAAGTATAACGGGCGCCACCCCTCAGCGAGTCATGCTTGTATGCTAGTAAGCAGCCACGGAGCAGGACCCTTGAATTTGGGTGCATTGGGGGGCGGCTACTGCTGCTGCTGTTGCTTGAGACTGATCAGGTATGCCGAAATGAAGGCGCTTTGTATGAACGTTGGTTGGTTCATGTGGTCAAGGGGATACGTTTGCAGGTGGGAAATGGGCTGATTGTATGCGTACTATGGCTCTTGGCTGGCTTGGCCTCTTGCAGCAGGTCCCAGGCAGGGTCTGAGGTTTGTTCTGCTGGGTGTTGGACCCTCGTTTGTCACGACTGGACTACTTGTTTAGGATCCAAGACGGATGTGGTTGTTCGCTCACTGCTTGCATCGTGTTGAATGCTGTTGTCCCATTATCAGGGAGAGAATTATGGCCCCACGACGACGCACTTACGTGTCTTTCTGCATTGGAGGATGACGATGACTGCCCAATCAACGCACCTTGGTAGGCGCTCAGCCAGCCCAACTCAGGCGAAGATAACATGTATATGCCTGTGGATTTGACAATCTGCATGTTTCACCTAAGGTCACACACAACCATGAACTTGCAGTATCGAGTTTATGATCGCTTGTTAGTTGCCTTTGGCTGATAATCAATTACTGTCCTGTGTGCTTGAAAGCTGACGTTTGCCTTTAGAGGTCTTGTCATAGTGAGACATTACGAGCGACTTGCTGGGTGCTAACCGGTTACCTCGATGTCGACATCGCCCCAGCACCGCCCTCAGCTTACCCTCCTTCCCATTCAGACCAATGAATGCGCGCTGAATTCGTCCTCCTATCGCTAGTCCATTCAGTGATACACAAGATACCGATATTGCTCGAAATCAAGCCTCGAGGCACAGACTCAGATATGGCATTGTGCCCTAGATGGGTTTGCTGTTGAGACATTTGTTCCCTCCTCGAGGGAAACATTGTGCGCACGTGGCGAACAAATCTTGCAGTTGTCGAGATGCAGCAGCCTCGTGGGTCTTAGTACAGCGAGACACAGAATAGTGTTGGCGTAGTTGACCTAGTTACGCTTCCAGTGTAGAACAATGGAGCTATCTGCGCCGAGTTGAGGGAATCAGAATGGACTGGCACAGATGTGCAAGAACTTGCCATGCCAAAGCTGATGAGTGACAAACACATCCTTACGGACAAAACCACTGCGACAGGACTACTACAGAGAAATGAGAAATCTATCCATTGATTGTTGAGTGTTTGACTTCATACCTGTAAGTCTACCATAGACGCGACGCCTGCCAATACAGACCTGCGGTGGTCGGGTTGAACGTTCCGCTGATATCTCCCAGCCAGCAGGTACGGCTCTCAAGAGATACAATACATTCCTGGAAAATCAATTCCAGTTGGCCTTGGATGATCTCATATCGATATGTGGCGAGCCTATCCCTGTCCGGCAAGCAACCGGGCTGGAATGTTCAAGGCCCCTGGAATGCGGGATGGTCAACCCCTACCATTTAGGGTCTATGCTACTGTCTCATCTCGATCGGGCCTGGATAACTGAATAAAACAATGGCAGCTATGCTTTTATCCCATGGGGGTATCACGAAATGGAACTTCTGACTAGTTGGTGTTTCCGTGCGATAGCGGTGGTGGTATCAACTTAGCCTGAGAGGACTAGTTACCTCCTAGCAGAAAGCAAACTTCCAGAATTTAAGAAATAAGTGGCGTGCAAAATCCAATTCATGGCTGGATCTTATCTTGAGACGCGATTCTGCAAAACGCGTGGTATTTCCCCCGCGACATCTATCCAGCCCTTCCATTCCGCACGTCGGGAAAGTCTCATCGCACAGGGGGTCCGGGGCAACGGCGAGGAGTATATGTAGGCTCGATTGTCTCGTCAAATTTTCAAATCAAATATCACCTCAAACTTACTCCTCAAAGTACTTGACCTGTTCCCATTACCCTTTCATACTTCTACACTTGATTTTTATACCACATCGCACTGCCCTCTCACAACACCATGCACACCAAGACGCCATCATTGACCTGCATGGTCCTCACATTCCTTACCTTCTCTTCTCTCACCCTCGCATATCCTGTATCTATATCGAAGAAGGACGTTGTATCGAGAGCGGTGAGTTCAAGATCTCCTGACCCGGTAAGTATTCTTGTCTGTATACTCACACCCACCAAATTTAGCTGACTCTCTCGCCCCAGCGAATGATCCCTCAAGCCGATACCCCCGACGACGAAAACAGTGATCTTATCGACACACTCTTTGACTCTATCGGACTTCATGACTTGACGAAGCTCAACCACTGGAAGTCAGACAATGAGCCTGATAAGTCTGATCAGCCTGATGTCATTGATGACAGCAACAGCCCTACAAAGACCGTGACCAGCCAAAACAACGATGTCGATCAAGATGATGACAAGGCGACGGACAATGGGAAGGATTCCAATAAGGTTGCCGATGACTCAACCTCCCAAAATTACGAGAAAAACTCTGACGACAGCAAGAACAGTAAAGGTAACACCCTTCCGAACCCTGCATCGGACGCTTCAGGGTTCGCGAAGGCCTTGATGCAGAAGATACAGAACGCGGTCAAGGATGCTCTGGATAGCAGCGACGAGCACACGCTTCACTGAGCCATACTGAGAGTATACTTTCTATCTCATTTTGTCTCGACTCTTAAGGGATTGTATTGTTTGGTTGGCGGGTGCTTTGTTTCTCTCGATGTCTTTCCTATACTTCTGTTTTTTTTTTTTTTTTGAGAAAAAGTATTCAGCGGCGTGTCACGATTGACGAAGTCCAATGGCAAGGAAGCTATATAATGAGTTAGTACCTGATGTAGTAGGAATTGACTTGGTGGTCCTAGAAAACCTCTCGGTCTCCGTCCATTTATTTGATTCTACGTTCTTGGGGTGGATCTAACTTCCGTCCGTCGGTCTACGAGCTTAACTCCAGCTAAATCCGGGAAGGACCCCTCGGCCTCCGTGATTAATACCGCGGCCGATCCACAGAATTCATCGAATCTAATCGTAAATCTCAATGACATTCAGCGGGTCTCGTATCCATTTGTGAGACAAGAGCGACAATCCAGGACGATGTCCGAGGAAATCCGAAAATTGGTGTTGAGGTGGGGGAAAGCAGAGATTAAAGCCCCTCATCGACCCTCTTCATTGCGGGCTGCAACCCTGACCCAAACTCAAGCTTAAATACCATCCATCATCACCTTTTATTCTTCAAGAGCTACACATCTTAATCTCCAATCGAACACCACAAACCGCCCAATCGCCACTACACATCCAGCAAAATGCCTTCCCTCAACGGACGCGAAATCGGCCACACCGGCTACGGAACCATGAGTATGTTGGAAAACAATCAACCCCGCAATCACCATAATTCTTTTTCGCAGCTGACGATATTGATGTCAAATCAAAGGAATGACCTGGGTCCCTCAGCCTCCCCCGGAGGAGCAATGCTTCGAAACCCTGAACACCACCCTCAAGCTCGGAGCCAACTTCTGGAACGCCGGCGAGCTCTACGGCACGCCCGATTATAACTCGTGCCACCTCCTGAACAAATACTTCACCAAGTACCCCGAGAACGCCGACAAGGTCGTCCTAAGTATCAAGGGTGGCTTGAAGCGTGGAGAGCTTATCCCTGATAGCTCCGAGGCCAACATCCGCCGGAGTGTGGACGAGTGTCTGCGCCTGCTGGACGGAAAGAAGAAGATTGATATCTTTGAATGCGCTAGACAGGATCCCAACGTGCCGGTGGAGCAGCAAGTGACTATTCTGGCGCAATATGTCAAGGAGGGCAAGATTGGAGGTATTGGGTTGAGTGAGGTGGATGCAGAGACTATTCGCAGAGCGTACGTTGCTACCCACATTCATTTACGTGCAGAAGCTGGTTACATGATAACCAAAAAAGGGAATAGTAGCTGACGAGATCACGCAGTCACAAGGTCCACCCGATCGCAGCGGTAGAGGTTGAGTTGTCCCTCTTTGACACCACGATCCTCAACAATGACGTCGCGAAGGTTTGTGCTGAGCTCAACATCCCCGTTGTGGCTTACTCGCCTTTGGGCCTCGGTGTGTTGGCCGGTGCTTTCACCAGTGTGACTGAGATCCCGGAGGGCGATTTCCGCAGAACACTACCCAAGTTCCAGGAGGAAGCCATGAAGGAAAACATCAAGCTGGTCAATGAGGTCAAGGCCTTGGCCACGCGCAAGGGTGTGGCTCCTGCACAGATCGCCCTGGCTTGGATCCTCACCCTCAGCGGCAAGCCGGGAATGCCCACCTTTATCCCCATCCCCGGTGGTACAACGGTTGACAAGGTTACTCAGAACCTGGAGGGAGTCCCTCGCCTTAGTGATGCTGAGATGGACGAGCTTAAGGACATTTTGGACCGGATTCAGGTGGTCGGAAGTCGCTGGTAAGCTACGGTTGTACGGTTTTCATAATGCGTGTGCTTTGGTGATTTTTTGAGATTGAACATAATATCATGGCTATATATGTATATAGTATAGGAGAGATAATAAGATCCTGAATAAGCCAGAATTGTCAGCTTGTGTTGACGCGGCAGCAGTGAAAAAGCTTCATGGACACAATGAAAACAGACGAGGGGTCAGATCAAGTGTAGAAGAGTCAACATGCAATCTCACAAAAAGGAGATTGTCAGGATTGCAGAATTCTTGATTAATTCATCATGGAAGTTGCGGCAGATTCAAAACACAATAATGTGGTAGGAAATTGGCGGCAACTTACCCTGCTCAAACAATGTGTGGGCAGGATCTGTTAGACAGATCACGAAAACAGGAAACAATTAGCTAGAAAGTAGCTCAATTAGCCACTGGGAGAGGAATTGAGTCACATTAGATTTTCAAAGCGAATCTCCAAGTTGGTATTTCCCAGTCTATGAGACCAGTGAAGTGTAAAAGAGGAGAAGAAAAGAAAAGGGAATTCGGGCGCGAAGAAAATTGGCGGCGCAATAGCCTCATCACGTGCCGGGTGCTCAGCCCAGTGTATACTCCGGCGCCGGATATCGAACTTCCAAACATCTCAAACCTGGCTCACTCCTCCAGCCAGTGCCAGTAACACTCCTAAAGGCCCACAGTTGTTGCTCAGTCCCCCCCCGCGTTATTCACTCTCCAAATCTGCTCAAAGCGGGCCCTCCTCTCCTGTCAACCACCATGACGGAATCTCCGGGCTCCCCCCTCTCCTCCATTGCTTCCGACGACATGTCGGATCGCGACGACCTAAAGCAAGCCTTCTCCCCCTCGGGCTCTAACATGCCTCCCTCAAAGCGTCGTCGCACTGGCGTTGCCTCTTGGGATCGCAATACTCCCGTTTCGACCACTTTCCAAGATGATCTCCCTCCTCCTTCTCCCTCCACCTCCATCTCGTCCGATACCTCCGGCGACATTCCCAACTCTCCCAACACCCTCGCTCTCATCGGCGGCAGTCAGGATGACGACTACAGCGGCCAAGGCAACGATCAAGTCACCGTCTGTCGCTGGGATGGATGCGACGCCGGTGATCTAGGCAATATGGATGGCCTCGTAAAGCACATACATGAAGAACATGTCGGGAGCCGACAGAAGAAGTACTCCTGCGAATGGTCCGATTGCAGTCGAAAGGGTCAAACTCACGCAAGTGGCTACGCGCTGCGCGCACACATGAGAAGCCATACGCGAGAAAAGCCCTTCTATTGCGCTCTACCTGGTAAGTTCTCCTAGACCATTCCCGCCATACGTTCCTTGCCCGTTATCCCTTGGCAACGTCTAACATCGTTCCTCTATCCTTTTTATAGAATGCGACCGCAGCTTCACTCGATCAGATGCCCTTGCCAAACACATGAGAACTGTTCACGAAACAGAGGCGCTTCGTCCCTCAGACCCCGTACCTAAACACCACAACGTCGCTGCTTCGGCGGCAGGAACGCCGACCGCGACCCCGTCCGGCAAGATTCAACGGTTGAAGCTGAAGCTATCGTTCCCACCGAAAGACGACGCAGGAGATCACAGCGAAAGCGCCAATGAGGAGGCAGCAGGACTGGAGGACGATCTCCACGTACCTCCTGGTGGATTGGAGAAGGAATTCGACACCTACGAGATGCTGCTTGAAGGGCCGCAACTGTATCGGCTGCTTCTGAGACAGATCCACTGGGCACAGCAGGACGGTGCGGAGCTACGTGACGCATGGGAGAAGATTCGCGTCAAGAGAAAGGAGTCGTGGATGGAGAAGGAAGCAATCTTTGATGACTTGATGGAGGCCGAGGTACGATTGTTCAAGCTACTCGATGAGAAATTCAGCGTGGCCAAGTCTGCGCCGGCGAACGGGACGGATAATGCACCGCAGTCGGAGCAACGGCAGTCAGAGCCAACAGAGATGGATGTTGCACAGGACCAGGGGTCTGGGTCTGTTCCGCCGTGATGCGATGGTTGGTATTGATGGCGGTGGTCACTTAATATATCCTTCTTGACTTGATCCCTCCTTCCTTGCCTATTGCTCTTCCCACCCCCTTCCTCTTGTACTTTACCTTCTTGTTTTGGGGGCTTCTTTTTGGGAATTTTCTTTTCTTGGGGCTGCTGCTGGTAATAACTTCGCCACGGAATTGGGCCACGTCACATCACGTCTTTCTGTGATAAAAAAAAAACGTGCCACAACTACTCATATTCCATTCTATTTCTCCCTCCTTTTCTTATACACCTTTTGTCTCCATTATCTCACCACGTCACGGGAACATGCAGGGACTTGATCAATTCCGGTTTAGTTCATTTTCATTTCGTTTCGCTTTCGTTTCCGTTTCCGCAAAATATCCTGGTCTTTACTAGTTTGCTGAGTGTTTTTGTAACCTTACGAATCGGGAATGGCGCTTCCTTTCTTTCTTCCAATATTGAATGATAGCATGGAGTCACTACTATTGTAAAGAAATAAAAATCAAGTACCTTGATTCATTGCATGCATGTAACCAACCCTTATAGTTGTTGTTTGTTGAAATGTGGTCTGATTGTAGTAACTCCATTAGGAGAAGAGAAAGAAGAAAACCCAGAGAAGACAACATATGCACTCCGCGCCTGTTCCTGTTTCTCTGCACGAGTGGACATGCCAAACAATAGCCTTCCAAGACGTATCCTAGACAATGGAGTGGGAAACACAACACTCTTTTCTGTTGAAATAAAAAGAAACAACTATCGAAGGTCTAAGGACACGTCGATACAGGGGGTGAAAAAAAAGGAGCAATAACAATATGGATATCCATTCATTCCCAGGCTAGAATCAAGGTAGCAAAACGAGATCAAACTCCAGGGATAATAGTAGTAGTAAAGTAGCCCAACAATGATATGACAATGTTGATAGTCTGAAAAGAAGATACATGAATTCGAAGGATATAAGAAGAGCCCTGCTCGGATGGTGTGGTTTAAGGAAAAAAAGGGCTAAGAAACAATCATGGCAACAGCTGGGTGTTTTTTTCTTTTCTTTCCCGTGTTCGATACCGGAGGAATAACAAGAACGTCGCTCATCATTCTGGAGGTATATGGGAGGGGAGCGAATGATGAGCGATGGAGGGAGAGGAATAGAAGGAAACGATATATGTGAACACATCACAAATAATCCCGATGCTCCAAATACGCGGGAAGACCGCAAGACGTTAAGAGCCAAAGAAATAGCTGCCATGCATGCAAACATCATAGAAGGCCACTCATGAGGTCAACCTCACACAACACTCCTTATTCGTAGATCATACCAGACGCCGTCGCCATGCTAACCCAAATGATGCATATGTACCTTTTAACATGAACAGAAGCAAAAAAAAGAACTCCATGTAAAGAACAAGACCCTTGACATCCTTTCGCTGGAAGATACCGGGATTAGAAAACCGGCATCTACTCTCCGTTGGAGGCTGGCTTGGAAGCAGCAGGCTCCTTAGGGATTGCGATCAGTTTATGATACATTTCTTGAAGTTTAGCCCCTCCGGCGTCTTTGTTGGGCCAGTAGTGTACCGAAACATATTGCCTATTGAGGGAGTCAGTATACTTTGTTCGGAACAGAGCCGGATTGCATTGGACATACCATAAACGAGTCTCCAAAGACGACATGGAGCCCTGGCCCTTCAAATTTTGACCGATGAATTCACCGACCTTTCCAAGTAGACGTCTCAACTCCGTAGCCCTTTCAGCCTTGCTCGGGAAATTCTCTTTAGTAACGGCTGACACCTTCTTCAGATTCTCGCGAATGGGCTTGAAGAACAAGCGAGCCATGTCCTCTTTGCCGGCGGAGTAGCCATTCTCATGAGGCTTACGACGCCGAATGTCCTCACTGGATGCGTCGGAGGTTCTATGACGGCTTCGTTCGCCTTCATGCATGGATCTGGGTCGATCGTGGCTGGGAGTATGGTGTCGTTCAACACTATCTCTGGCGCCGTGGGTATGAGACCGATGCCTGGAACGTTCTGTTTCCCGGTGGCCTCTACGAGAAAGAGACGGTGCGGGCGAAGCCGAGACGCTGTTGCTGGCATGCGTACGGGAACCTTTCCGGTTATTCCGGTGATGATTCTCGACAGCTCTCTTCGCGCTGACACTCGAACCGTTGGTGACTTTGTCACGAAGAACAGATAACAGATAGTCTGCGCGACGAACAAGGTGAACGGCTCCTGGAGACTTCGTTGTCTTGTCCTCGGCATTCATACGTTCATTTTTCCTCTCAACACGGTGTTCTTCAAGGAAGAACTTGTCGCCAAGGCCAAGGTCGGGATCGTCTCGGATCTGCGTCCAAGCACCATATCCGTGCCGCGCAATACCGATACACAGCATCCCGTCCTCGCGTGCACCCCATGGACACGTATAGTCCGCGGCTTTAGTGGCTTCCGGTATCCGGAAATTCTTGAAGTCAGGCACGGCGGCCGTCGCCTCCTTCAAAATACGCATTTCCGTCGGACGTTCCACAATAGTGTACGCATTAAGACGCTTCACTCCATGGAGATCGAATAAGACCGCCTTCTTTTCTTTCTTCGTCGGCACCTTACCAGCGTGTTCAAGGGCCTCAAGTTTCTCTATGTCTTCCCGCACCAGATCGGCAGCCTTGTCAGTTATTTCGCGGAGCGCAGCCTTGACCGTCTCTCTATCACGATCAAGGAGACGTGCCTCACGAACGACATCCTCCTCACGTTCTACTATATTTCCAAAACGAAGGTAGGCACGCAGAAGATGGCGGTATTCTTTCTCCACAAGGGGTCGTTTTGGGTCCGACTGAGCATTTGAGTCGGAGTCATCGCCATTCTCCATACTGACCTGTGCTCTCGCTAATCTCTTGGCTTTGCGTTCTTCACGGGTATCCCGTGCATCACCCGGTGCATTGCGCTTGCGGGGTCGGTTCTGCTCAATGACTTCGGCAAGATAGCGTTCGTCGGCTTTCTTCTTCTCCTCTGCCTTGATCTCCTCCAGCTGTTCTTTGGGTATGATGTCATCCCAACTAAGGTCGTCCACCTTGATGTCAACATATTCGAAGGCTCGAAGGAACTCTTCGCCACCGTCAGCTTGAATCTCCTCAGCCTGTTCGGTCTGATGAAGTTCTGCGTTTGCGAGGACTGAGTCGATATCGAGTTGTTCAAGCTTCTCCTGGTTACCAGTCTGCTCGAACATCCTCTGGCCACGACGTTTGAGAATACGTGAAATATCCTCTGTTGAGTTTGGCTCGCTGACCGAGATTCCACTACGAGCCATCTTGTTTTGAATCTCTGACGCCTCCTTGTCAGTAACACCACGTTGGATTGTGATGAACTCGAGTAGAAGCTTGTTGCGAGCTCTCTCAATCACTTCCTCTTCCACGGTATCCTTCGACACCAGGCGATACACACTAACCGGCCTCGTCTGTCCAATACGGTGCGCTCTGGCCATGGCTTGAAGATCAGCCTGGGGGTTCCAGTCAGAATCAAATAAGACTACAGTATCTGCCGTCATAAGGTTGATTCCAAGACCACCGGCTCGGGTAGACAAAATGAACGCAAAGTCATTGCTTCCAGGAGCATTGTAGTGTTCAATTGCCAAACGACGTGCAGCCGCAGGGATAGTACCATCCAGTCGTTGATATGTATATCCGCGGAATTCCATATAATCACCGAGGATGTCAAGCATCTTAACCATCTGACTGAAGATCAACACACGGTGACCGTCACGTTTCAGCTTGGCAAGAAGCTGATCCAAAAGCATCATTTTACCACTGCTGGTGATCATTGCCCTCAGAACATCCTCCCGGCGGGTACTACCTTCCAGAATCCTGGCTTCGGCATTGGGGAACATGAATGGATGGTTACTTGCTTTCTTCAGCTCCATCATGATGTTCAGAAGTGATTGTTTCTGACCTCTGGCTCCGTCATTGAGCGCAGCGTAATTCTTGGTAAGGATATTCTTGTAGTATTCCAGTTGGACGTCGGAGAGCTCGACGCGAATGATCTTTTCGGTCTTAGGGGGAAGGTCAGACTCCACTTTCGACTTCGTTCGACGAAGCATGAAGGGTTGAATAGCTTTCGTCAGCTCCGCAAGCTTATGAGAGGCAGCTTCTGCGTTCAAGTCCATGTCGGCATCAATGTGAACCAGGCCCGGATTTAAGAAGTCTAGAAGGGCAGAGAGTTCTGCAAGGTTGTTTTGAATAGGAGTTCCGGTGATGAGAAGTCGAGCCGGAGACCTGAACTCGAGCAACTTCAAATATAGCTGAGATTCGCGATTCTTCAACCGATGTGCCTCATCAACGGCCATAAACTGCCATTTGAACTGGCTCAGGAAGGTCGAGTCCAGCAGGACATACTCATATGTCGTGAGGAGTACATTGAACTTGGGGCGTCGGGGGTTCCCGTCCACCATAAGCTCATGTTCACGCAGAACTGTGCGTGCAGCCTCATTGCCATTGTAGACAACATAGTTTAGGTCAGGGGTCCAGTGGTCAAAGGTCTCAGCCCAGGATGGCATCGTCGACAGTGGGACGACGACCACGAAAGGCCCTTGCTGGCGGCGCACGTGGCGTAGCCAGTTGATGAAGGCAACGGTCTGTACGGTCTTACCAAGACCCATCTCGTCGGCCAGCACAACGTTGCGGTTCTTCACCCAATTGAAAGCCATGAAGTTGACACCTTTCACCTGGAACTCCTTCAGCTGGCCATTCTGTAAGAAGCTAGGTGTGCTCTTGATTGTTTCGAATGACTTGCGCGTGGCTGGGTTGGTTTCGGACTTGTCTGACACCGGGGGGCGAGAGGAGCGATCTAGAAAACGGTCTATCTCGCGCTGAGCAATATTACTAACGAGATCTTCACTCTCCCATGTACAAGAGTCGTAAAACAGGCGCTTCCATTTGACGAAGTACTCCGTCCCTTCGTCGCCTTCGCGCATTCCGATGACTCGCTCAACTTGTTTGTAATCCTCAATTGCGTCTACATCCCTCTCACGGTCGAGGTTCCATTTCTCCCGATCCTCGGGGGCAACATCTGCATCATTCTTGAGGCGGACGTCTTCGGACAGTGTTTTGCGTATGTAATTGTCAAGGCGGCGGGTACTACGACAGTTGGCAAGACTCTCGGCCGTTTCCCATGTGGCATGGTAATGGGACTTGCCTTGCCATTTGATGTAGAACTCAAAGTCGTGGCGGCCGACGTCGAGGCTACTTGGGTCCACACCATCCTTGAGGCGATGATTGAGCACAATATCGACAGCTGGGCGATCATCCTCCACGGTATTCACCCAATAATTCTGTGTCATTTCCTCTGGGTCATCCTCGAACATGGAATCATCATCATCTTCTTTGTAATTCGAGACCCGAGAAGCATTCCTCGTTGAGAAACGAACCTCAGTGTGCGAAGGTGCATCGTTTGATGAGGCTTGAAGGAGCCGCCGTCGCCTCGCCTTACTTGTACGAGCACGGGGACCCCCGTACTCATCGCTGTCCGAGTCTTCGGAGAACGACGACTGGGTTGCGGAGCGGGAGGGACGTTTCGAGGTGGGTTGTGAGGCCGCAGCGCGTCGACGCTTAGCACGGGGTGCTACAGCATCAGAGTCGTCCGAGTCCGAGTCTGATTCGACTATTTGACGCGTCGTGCGGGCTCTTGCGCTTCGGCGAAGGCCGTATAGATCGGGGTTCTGTCGGATATAGTCTGATTCATTGACCGACGATGATTTTCGTTTCGTGCCACGCCTGGTTTCTGATGATGAAGAGTTTTCAGAGCCGGATGCACTGCTCTGGTCCTCGTCATTTTCCATCCCAAAAGCATCCTCATCTCCTTCCGCGTCTGGGGAGCCGGCATTATAGGACTCGTCTGCGGCGTCTTCCTCGGGCGAGGATGATGAATCGCGTGCGGCATGGTTTGCAAAGGAGTCGGATAGGTGGTCTTCACTCTCGCTGACTGCAAGATCATCTCTGCTGCTTGCAGCATCGGAGGCAGGTGATGCGGAGTACCCATTCATCAGGGCCATTGTGGCCGATGGTTCGGAGGTAGATGGGATCACCATGCTAGTAGCTATTGATGATGAGAGGCATCAGCATTGAAGCCCGGTACGAGGCCGGAGAGGGATGGAAGACACGGCATAGTGTAAAACAGGTTTACGCGACTCAGATTCCACTAGAATCGAACAGAATAGGTAGGTGAACGAGGTAGGAGATGAAGGTATGATGGAAGGGCATGTTTTTGATGGCGGGCTGGATGAAACGCGACGGAGAGTGATAGGGAAGAGATGGGTGATAATAGGGGCAAATCCGAAGGCAAAAACAGGTACAGGAGAGAAAAGCCAGCCAGACCTTGACCAGGAGGAACCCGAGAACCCCTCAATACACCAGATGTAGGGGATATCTAGAGTTCTTCGGTGGGTCGAGACCGTGGAGAAGTACCCCGGCCGACAGTGGCAGGACACGTCTAGGAAAAAGCTAGGAAAGACTAATAAAATACTTACATTCCATAGCTTGGTGACCCCTAATCAGGGAAAAACGAAGAAGTAAATGGTGACAAAGTTGAAGGGAAAAGGTGGGGGGGAGGGGAGGATGGAATGGTGGAGGCAGCAAAGGAACGATGGGAGGCCGCTGAGAATATGATGAGGGAGTAGGAAGAGTGTTGTACGTTCGGCTGGAGGTGGACGAGTCGCCGTGAAGGGATTGGCTGCCCGCCTGATCCCTCAGGCTGCCATTGCCCGCCATGCTCTGTGCGGTTTAGCGCGCCTCAAGCGAGCCTTCAAGCGGACTAGCGCGCTTTGGTTGTCACGTGTGTATCGGGAAAGGAGCTACTTTTCTTCCGAGCAGAATCAGTCAATGTGAACAGTCAGCCAATCAGCACCGCCAGAAATAATGCAGCCCGGAAACAGTTGTTGCCTGAGGCATCAACGGCTGCCCACAATGCCCGGCATAGTTTTCTCTCCAAAGAGCCCCTCCTCATCGGGGTTCTCCAGCAACGTTTCTACCTCGCTCTCTCCTTGGTGCTGCCTGTGCAGAGATCTGGCGCGTTCGCATTTTGCCAGTCCAACCGCCGCCGTGTGATCGGCTTCATCCAGCACAGTTCACCCTTTAAGCGATCTTATTGCTTCTTTTTGCAGCTGCTCCCCCACTACATCGGTTTCGCGCATTCAACTTGATCTGAACATTAGCCATCATGTCTGACAAGCTTACCCGGTATGCCTCCTTATGTCCACGTTATTGGTTTCTTTTAGGTCACACCAGCTAACAGATCTCGGTTTTCAGTGTTGCTATTGTCAACAGTGACAAAGTGAGTTTCCTGTACCCCGCGGCATACGCTGCCAACAACCATGTGTCGACGCTCCAACGTATACTGAGACATCTCGCTTTGCTGGTAATAGTGCAAACCCAAGGTACGCGAATCTTCCGATTTTCCTGCTTTCTTCGCGCCCTTGGACCTATCTTCTAACGCTCCACGCTTTCTCTTTTTCTAGAAATGTCGCCAGGAATGTAAGAAGTCTTGCCCCGTCGTCCGTACGGGTAAGCTGTGTATCGAGGTCACTCCCGAGTCCAAGATTGCCTTCATCTCCGAGCGCCTCTGTATCGGTTGCGGTATCTGTCCCAAGAAATGCCCCTTCGGTGCCATTCACATCATCAACCTGCCGACCAACTTGGAGACTCAGGTTACCCACCGTTACTCCGCCAACAGCTTCAAGCTTCACCGTCTTCCCATGCCCCGTCCCGGACAGGTGCTTGGTCTCGTCGGTACCAACGGTATTGGAAAGAGTACGGCGTTGAAGATTCTCAGTGGAAAGCTGAAGCCCAACCTTGGACGTTTTGACAACCCTCCCGACTGGGAAGAAATTCTCAAGTACTTCCGTGGTTCCGAACTGCAGAGTACGTATATATAGTATCGTGGGGTCGAGCTATACAGACTTCTAACTGTATGCAGACTACTTCACCAAGGTTCTGGAGGACGATCTCAAGGCCGTTGTGAAGCCTCAATATGTCGATCAGATTCCCAGGGCTGTCAAGGGCCCCGTCCAGAACGTTGGCGACCTCATCAAGGCCCGCGCTCAGTTGGGCAACCTGGAACACATTCTCGACACTCTTGGTATGGCACAGTTGCAAATTGAGCTTTGTGATAACACTGCTAATGATATATGCAGAGTTGAGACAGGTCCAGGACCGTGATATCGGTCACCTTTCTGGTGGAGAGCTCCAGCGTTTCGCCATTGGTCTGGTCTGCGTGCAGAAGGCTGACGTGTAAGAGCAATATCTAGAACCGTTTTTCTATGCGCAGGAGCTGACAAACTTTACAGCTACATGTTTGACGAGCCTTCCTCCTATCTTGATGTTAAGCAGCGTCTCGCCGCCGCTCGCTCCATCAGAGAGCTTCTGCGCCCTGACGATTATGTCATTGTTGTCGAGCACGATTTGTCTGTCCTTGATTACCTGTCTGATTTCGTCTGTGTGCTCTACGGAAGACCCGCCCTTTACGGTGTGGTTACTCTGCCTGCTTCCGTCCGTGAAGGTATCAACATCTTCTTGGATGGTCACATCCCCACTGAGAACTTGCGATTCCGCGAGGAGTCTCTTACTTTCCGTCTTGCTGAATCTGGTGATGACTTCATGGTGGACCGGGCCCGTGCTTTCTCCTACCCCAGCATGGAGAAGACTCTCGGTAACTTCCACCTTAAGATCGATGCTGGAAGTTTCACCGACTCTGAGATCATTGTCATGATGGGTGAGAACGGAACCGGAAAGACCACATTCTGTAAAATGCTTGCTGGTGCTGAGAAGCCTGACGGTGGCAAGAGCGTTCCTCGCCTGAACATCTCCATGAAGCCTCAGAAGATCACCCCCAAGTTCCAGGGTACCGTCCGTCAGCTGTTCTTCAAGCGTATCAAGGCTGCGTTCCTGTCGCCCCAATTCCAGACTGATGTCTACAAGCCCCTCAAGATTGATGACTTCATTGACCAGGAAGTTCAGAACCTGTCTGGTGGTGAATTGCAGCGTGTTGCCATTGTCCTGGCTCTGGGAATTCCCGCCGATATCTACCTCATTGACGAGCCTAGTGCTTACCTGGACTCCGAGCAGCGTATCGTGGCCTCCAGGGTCATCAAGCGTTTCATCATGCACACCAAGAAGACTGCATTCATCGTCGAGCACGATTTCATCATGGCCACTTACCTCGCCGATCGTGTCATCGTCTTCGACGGTAAGCCCTCCGTCGATGCTCACGCCAACGCCCCTGAGTCCCTGGTCACTGGTTGCAACACTTTCTTGAAGAACCTGGATGTCACCTTCCGTCGTGACCCCAACAGTTACCGCCCTCGTATCAACAAGTACCAGTCCCAGATGGACCAGGAGCAGAAGTTGGCCGGCAACTACGTAAGTCTACAATTTTCTTACCTCAGCACTGGCATGGTTCAGCCGTGTTGGGATGGTCTCTGTCTGATTATTAGAAGTGTAATACTAACCTGCATTCTCCACAGTTCTTCTTGGAAGAAGAGAAATGAAGAGGTTGTTCCGGGCAAGTATGACCGCGTGCCTCACCAACGTGACGGCCGCGACTCGGACCAGCGGCGTCGCTATCGTCGCTGGGGCTACCTTCGGGTAGTGGCGTTTTTCGGCGTTACAAAGGCCTCTGCAGCTCAGAGAAGGCGGCGCCGCTGCCGTGGCGTGCGCCTTCCTGATGATGTGGATGGTGCTTTGGAGGAGGATGACGAAGAGGGAGCGGACGACTTGTTCGGCTAGGTAGGAGCAGTGGTTTAACCTGTTCCAGTTAATCCTCTCTGGCCCCCCGCCTTGTCGTCGCTCATGGTCGTCCCTCCCCAGCGCCATCTACGCCTGCATAGTTCAATCTAGTCCTCTTCACAATGGTTCGGAGTGAAGACACAACGAGACTAGTCTATTAGATTATGTTTGGGTTTACGGATTTCCTGGATGGCGCAGTCATGTCGGAGTTACAATGTTTGTCAAAAGAGTCAAGGTTATTCGCGACATGGATGGTCCGCCGACAAAAAAGGGTGTCGGTGAGGGAAAAAGAAAGATTAGCTGGTTATGGTCAAGCTAGGTGGCCACTGTCCAAAAGATTTCTTTTTTTTTTGAACATATTTCATTACGCTAGTCATTCACTTCGTATATATCACTTGCTTTTCTTTGTCAAAGCATGTAAGTCTATCTAGGACAGTATGGTAAACTCTACGTAAGTAGCTTGTGTACGCCTACGGAACAGATTCCCTCCGAAAATGTCCGTCTCCACCGGATGTCATACTCCTCCGGTAAGGGACAGACCTCCCGCATTTTGTTCGCTGGATCACATGAATAATATCAAAAAGTACTATGGAACGATACAAACGAAGCATTTCATTCCAAACTGTCATTGCACATGACGTGCCGTGATGCGTACCGGTGTGTTTGTGGTTGTACTGGTAGTGGTGGTATGTCATGGATGGTGATAGACTATATATATCTTCAGTACTCCATTGAAGTACTTACTACTAGTTCAACTTAAGTGTTGAACCCAGGAAATGGACGCCATGACTAAAGTTCCGGAGGCTGTGTCAAATTACTATATCTACTAGCTATGCCATAGAATATTATTATAGGTATTGTATTTGTATTTTCACATGTCAAGAAATGCATATATCAATCGTGTGGGCGCTAGACATACAAAGTCGATATACTGGGGCAGCAAAGACGACAGACGCATCCACCAGAACCCGACACTACAAGTGTAGAGTCAGTCAGCATCCATTGGCAATTACCTATGGAACGGGTAGTAGTGTGTGTGCATCTACTTAATCTTCTTCAATCTCCCCTTCTTCACTACCGGAGTGGACGGCCTTTTCCTCTTTCTTTCCATCATCGGTTGCCGCTGGAGTCCGCTCGCGACGGTCCCGGTCTCGCCTGGCACCGCGGCTGCGTTCGCGCTCCCGACTATCACGTCGGTAGCGCTTCGCAGAGCGACTGGCAACGCTTTCCGTGTCGCTGTCGCGTCTGCGCCTACGATCATTGCTGGTGGTGCTTCGGGTATCGGCACCATAATCCAGCTCATCCCGACCTCCACGGGGATCACCGCGTGTGCGATAGAGGCGTTCGCGCTCTTCCTCACGCTCGCGGCGCTCGCGTTCGTAGTGGCTAAGAGGGCGTGCGCTGCGATCCCGATCCCAGTCACGATCGCGGTCCCTATCCCGCTCACGCTCACGGTAACGTTCCCTGTCTCGATCGCGCTCTTCCCGTCTCTCTCGGACGGGCGATAGGCCGCTGGCCTTCCGGTAGGAGCGTTCACGGTCTGCTTGGGCTTTACGGCGATCTGCCTCGTAGGCATCTGGTTCTGGGGTCCGGCTTAGACGGCTAGACGTTCCCCTTCTTTCGCCTCTATAGGATGGCCCGCTGCGATGATCACGATCACGGTCGTGGTGATCACGGCGACTTCCGCGATCCCTATCGCGGGTCTCGCGGTCTCGTTCCGCATCCTCCTCCTTCTCCTTCAGGCGGCGGATGACCTTGTCAAAGGCGGCCTGTCGGAGCTCATCGGTCTCCAGAGACTTGTACTCATCGAATCTTTCGATCCGCGGCTGCACCTGTTCCCAAGTATCAGTTGCACGGACAGGGGGATCGAGACGCTTGATCCGGGAACGCAGTGAATCTATAGCGCGGCGCTGATGACGGTCCGCAGCATGCTTCTCTTCCTCGCTTCGTCGGACAGCCTTCTCCTGGATACGCTGGAAAATCAGTTGGAGTATCTCAGGATCAATGTTGGCCGTACGGCGATCACCGGATACAGCAGCGTTGAACTCCTCCAGAGTGGTCTTTGGTGTAACCTCGAAGCGTTTGTCCTGAGTACAGGGTTAGTGGCAGAAAACAGGAAACCGGAATTAATCACACTCACATCAAGTACATCCAAGACATCATTACGCGGGCCGCGTAGCGAGCGTTCTTCTTCTTCAACCATATCCCAAAACAAATCCAGGGGAGAAGATCCGGAGTTACCCAGGATACCGACGTACCGAGGATCCTCGTGGATCAAGGGGTAGATGTTCATCCACTTGCTTCCAGCCTTGATCTTACCCTGAGATCTCAGCTCCTTCAGAAGCTCGATAAACTGCTCGCGGGCATGACGCTCTTTTCTCGCCTTTGCAGCCTTTTGTTGCTGACGCGCATCATTGAAGGCCCGCTCAAGGGACTTGATGTGGTTCTCGAATGCAGTCAAGATATCGGACTTGCTCAGGGTTCTGAACTTGTCGTCGCTTTGGACCTTGTCATTCGACTGAATAATTGCCTGTGCTTCAGACCAGCGTGTGTATGGTTCCAGGTTCAGGGACTTCAAGATAGTCACCAGCTCATCCATAGCAGCTTTACGCTTAACAGCTTCCTCCTCGATGTGCTCCTTCTTGAGCTCAACAATGTACTCCTCGAAGAGCTGGCGCCTCTCGTTTTCATCATCCGTAGATCTAAAGATGGTTTCGCCCTCGATGATCGGTCGGATGGTCTTCCAGCGACTGTAATGTTTAATCTCAGGGTGGCGCTTCAGCATGGTATTGAAATCTGCTCTGAGCTTAGCGAATCTCTCCTTCGCCCGATCCTTTTCCTGCATGCGAACCTCGACCGCATATTTTTCAAATGCTGCTTTGCGGTCTCTGGGGTCTTTGAGGGCACGATACTGAGGGTCCTTGATGGTTTCACGCATGGTCTGTTCCCAGCTCCAATCGGGTTGCACGTTGTGGCGCTTCAGCATCTTCATGAACGCGTTCTCTGCCTCTTCGAGAGAGCCGTACTCGGGTTCGGCTTGCTGTGTACCTAGGATAGGAGCCGCGGCGATGCCGTTGGTATCCATCGAGCCATATCCTCCACGACGGTCGCCATAGCCTCGATCATAGTCGTCGCGGTCACGCTGTTGAGGGTAAGAAGAAAACGAGCTAACACCACCTGCAACGAAAGTCGGGGCCCTATGCACAAACACGTTAGTCTCATAAGCGCATTGAGAGGCAAGTTTGGGTATGAACTTACGCCACTGGAGGAGCCTGAGGCGCCGGAGCCTGTGCCAGAGCAGATTTGTAAACATCTGGCATCTCCCAGGTGCTTTGCTTGGTTTCGGTGTTGTACCAGTATTTCCGACCACCCTCAGCAGTATATTCCTTCCACGGCTGGTTTGCCAACGCACGCTATATGAAAAGATGACAATGAATTAGTATCCAGTACCATAACATATGGCAATGTCATTTAAAAAGGGCATAAGAACACATACCTCAACAGGCGTCATAAGCTCGACGGGCTTTGCCCACTGCGTCGCCTTCGTCTGTACATTGTAGTAGTAAACTCGACCATCAGAGTTACGCGCCTCCTGCCAAAGGGGAGGCGCGCCAGCCGGACCGTTCATGGGATTCATATCGAAGTTGCAGAAGCTGCCGGGGACAGATACTGCTGTTGCGACGATAAGAGAAGGTCGGGAAAAAGCAGCGTTCGAAGAAGCTCGCCGGGGTTCCTGCGCTAAGGCTGTTTGTCGTGTTTGCAGCGTCCCTGGGTATCGAACACCTCCACCCGGCACGCCTGGGTCCCTGGCTGCTCTTAAATTAAATGCGCATCGAGGGGACTTCCGTCTGTTGCCTTCTTTTGACCTTCCTGGTGTCGGTTGCCTGTGCGCGTGCTATCCCTTTACCCCGTTACGAGAAGAAGAGCATGCGGCTGTTGTTCTAGCCATGCCGAGTCTCGACATCCCCGGGGAATTCCTCAGACATGCTGTTCTAGATACAGTTGTCCCGCATGCTTCAGATGCCGACTTAGAAGCAGCTCTGACGTCTGCTTTAGAAAAAGGCGCAGATGATCTCACTTCTGTGCTTTCGCTAATACCGCAACGCTCTCTTCTGTTCTTCGGTATGCTACGACCTGCTGGCCTGATCGAGCTCTATCTCTTACTCATATGTAGCGTGATACAGATGAGTTCTGCACCGTTCGCGTTGTCCTACGACTATCCAATTGCTCCCCACCTAGCCTGAAACAGTATCTTCCGCATCTCGAAGTCCGACTCGATGCCTTTGCCATTGATCCCGCCGAGACAGTCGCGGAGAATCCGACCCCGACTCGGGACCTCATATTCTCAGGGGTTGTAGATTCACAGGAGCCATTGGTGGTGGTGAATGAGTTTGAGGGAGACACGGGTGGGGGCAACCACGTATATGTGATCTGGAGTGTCAAGGCATTCTTGAGTAAGGTCACCGTTCATGTTTTGGCATCTCATCGTGCTGATCAACTTCAGAGCGCCCTCGCATACGCATTCAACACCCTTCCCTCCTCTTCATCGCCTCCGCTAGCCTCAACCCAGCTGAAACCCGACAGCAAGAGTCTCGGGGAGACGACTACCTCCCGCCTCTGATCCCGGCCTCTACAAATATTCTACAACCGCTATCGAGTGACAAATCCTTGGATCAAAAAGATCCATTCCTCCCCGCATCTAGGCTTCTGCGAGTTGTACCGGCGAAATACAGTGAAGACCCTATATATAACGTCCAGCAGCATTCCGGCCACCCCATACGCATAGTTCCTGCCGCCAGTGCAAGGATACGCTATTCTCGGTTGAATGCCTATAGTGGACGGCCTACTACCGTTGCGAGCCTCGATTTTGAGGTGACACCATTCCTCAATTGCGATGTCACATTTGACAAGGCAGAGCTTAGCATGTCGGATGGGACGATAGAAACCCTCACAGATGCACCGGGGCTGCTTCCACCCATCCGTTGCCAGCCGCGAGATGATATTACCCTTGTATACAAGTTAACGCCCGATTATGCGCCTGACCCAAATCCATCAACAACTGTGATGGTCAGTGTTCTGGATATTTCGCTAGAAGCAATCATCCACCTGTCGGACAATTGTAACCCGCGGATCTCGATGCAATGGAGAACCAACGTTGATTTCTCCATGGTCCTCAACCCAACTTTTGGGGGTCCTAGCCAGGCTCTACAACGGAACAACCGCCCTGCAAGTCTTCCGATGACACCCAACCAAAGCAACGCCGCAGCGGGAACCGCCACGCCTAATCGAAGCTCCCTGAGGGAGCGGGCATACTCAACCGCAGGCCTTGGTGTATCGGTTTCGTTCAGTGGCCCTCCACATGTCGAAGTAGGAAAGCCCTTTGCTTGGAGTATCTTCATCGTGAACCGATCCTCCGGTTCGCGCAAATTCTCGATAGTTGCAATCCCTCGCCGGAAGAAGCTGGACCCACGGGGACATACCGTGCGACCATCTTCTTCATCTGCGACGAGCCGCAAAGATGCTCAGGTCGCGGAAGCTGTAACGGATGACAATATCGTTCATGCACTCCAGAAAAGTGTAGTTGGCCAGGAAGCAGAACTTATTTCTCTGAGTACTGACGTTCGGGCTGGGTGAGTAGCTTCACATCTTCCTTTCCTTTTACCCTAGCTGACTATATCACAGTCCCCTTTTGCCTGGCACCTGTTTTTCTACGGAATTAAAATTGCTTTCCTTGGCGGTGGGGGCACTCCGTCTGGAAGCTGTACGTCTGGTGGATGTAAATACGAATGAGATGATTGATATTAAGGATCTCCCGGACATCCATTCCTTTGATAGGAAAGGTAAGCCGACCGAGGTGGTCAGTTGAGAAGAGGTCTGGATTATCCTTATGATAGATAGCTTGGAGGCTGGCTAGCTACGATGCATGTTTATGGACTTGGGCTATCTTTACGATTCAAGGGGTGATAGCATGATTAGCGGGTGGTGATAAGGAATAGATATTCGTCAAGTCTCATTATGAGTTGCATGTACATCATATCAATAGAGCATTTAATTGTCTGTACTAAGCGTTGGATCTCCCCAGACGGTAGTAGTAGTAGTAGTCATTATAAGATTTCCCTGAGTAAAAAGGAGAAGGGGGCTATAAAAGCGGCAATGCAGACCCTCCGCCTCAAAAAGCGGCGGGCGGGCGGAGATGGGCGGGTGATCACGCGAGCGGATTGGTCCAAGGGGCGGGGGAGAAGTTCGAACCCCCGGCAAGATGACATGACCTCGATCTTGCATCTTCGCTGCCTCAAGAGTACTACCGTTCCTCTCGTTCGTTCTATTTAATGGGGGCTTGAATCGCTGGTCGACCTAAACCCAAATCTAACCCGCTTCTTCTTTTCTTCTTTTGTACACCATACACAGTACGCCCGTCTCATCGACACCTAACGAGACGATCAACTGACGCCGGGTTCCAGGAGTCGTCGGGAGGCTTGCTTAGTATTCGCCTGCTCGCCCTTGTTTCGCCTGTGCGCGCTTTTTGGCAGTCCTTTGCGTCATACTCGCCCCGAGCCCGCCAACCGGGATTTCCAGGCCGTTCGCCTTCGATCCCCTTCCATCTTGCCAATCACTTATCGTCTATCATCGCCCTTCGTCATGTTCTCCACTGGTCGTCGAAGAATACTCGATGGACTCAATCGGAGGTACATCTACGGCCGTTTGGTATGTGAAACTTTTGGTCTCAATTCCATCCTATCTTACCCAAGGGGGGCTTTTTACATTTTTGTCGTAAAAGCAATATTGTCTTACAAATAAATCTTGTCCTATGAGGGAACTCATCACTAATTTCACTCCTTCCATATTTCTCCTTTTTAGCCATTGCTTCACGCCATAATCTTTCTCATCGAAATGGCGGCTGCAATGCGACTTGCCGCTAAGTTCAACTCTTACTATGCGGAGAAACCAGGTAAGGCTGTCATGCTGCTCCCTTGCGAAGGCGCCTTCAGGAGTTGGCTGACTTTGTGTTGTCTTTAGTCTTAACCACCATGGTCACCAATGCGGTAAGAGTTCCTTCGAATGAATCATTTGTCGTTGGCATATGATCGCCTGACGTTGGACGGCATGTTAGATCCTTGGTGGGATCGCAGACACGGTCGCACAGTTGATCACGGCTTTCAAAGCGCGTGGAGGACGCCGACCCTCTGATGGTAACGATCTCATCTCGATTGAGATCCACGACCTCGATAAAGAGAAGCCGCCTGCTCTTGGAGAGCTCGGACATGCTAGACATCTGGCGCCGGCCTTCGATTTTGAGCGTCTGACTCGCTTCATGTCATACGGTTTCTTCATGGCCCCAATTCAGTTCCATTGGTTCGGTTTCTTGTCCAGGACGTTCCCCCTTACTAAGAGAAACCCGTCGATTCCCGCACTCAAGAGAGTGTGCGTGGATCAGCTGATGTTCGCTCCTTTCGGTATGAAGCGTCTCCAGAGGAAATGAACGCGCTTTCTGTTTGCTAATGACATCACCAGGTCTGGCGTGCTTCTTTTCCTTCATGACGGTCGCCGAGGGAGGAGGTAGGAGAGCATTGACTCGCAAGTTCCAGGACGTTTATCTGCCAACCCTCAAGGCCAACTTTGTCCTGTGGCCCGCTGTTCAGATCCTGAACTTCCGTGTCGTACCTATCCAGTTCCAGATTGTGAGTTCCATTGTGACAGATGTCGTGTGCGCTGTGATACTGATACATATTGATTCAGCCCTTTGTGTCCTCCGTCGGTATCGCCTGGACTGCGTATCTGTCATTGACCAACTCTTCGGAGGACGAGTGAGGGTAGAAGCGGGCTCATATTTTGGCTCCCACAAGGTTCTCAATCGTTTCTTCCCTCGTTTGTCTGTCATTATTTCTTCCCCTGCGTTGTTTCGTGCTTACTGGGCGCTGTAAATGAGCTTTGGGGGTTCTGTTATTCTTCCTCTCATGGGTGGTGTATAGGTCATCTTCGTCCAGCAACGTGGGTACACCGGAGTCAATTGCATTGATCGATAAACCATGTCGACAAAAGGAATACACCAGTGTTTTTTTTTTTTTTTTCGGGATTGAACCAGGCACAAGCTCCAATATCTCCTGTAGGCGGGGCTGTCCCCACGAGAGCGAGCCGGCTTCCATAGACGAGAAATATCGGAACGATTGCTTGATAGATCCACCCCCGGACGCAGCAGAAGCTCCCATCGCAGCCATGATCCGAGGCTAAGGGGCTCCGAACGGGGCATAACAGGCATAATGTTCACCCCTGAGGCCCCGGACCCTTCCGTCATCGATTCACGGTCGCTGACATCAGTCCCGCATCAGCCCGAGGCGCCCGCGATTCTTCTTCTCTCACCGGCTGCCCCACCACCAGCCCATAACCACCACTTTTACCCCGCCGCCGAACCGAATGAAGTCGTAGCTTCCAGTGCCCAGAGTGACCAGACTCGCTCACCGCGGACCTATTAAGTAGGCATTTTTCTTAATCCCCTCGTACCCCGTGGTGCTACTAATACTACGCTGTCCCCCCCCAAATTTCCCCTTCCCTTCTTTTTGTCACCCCACCTCTCTCTCTCCCATTCTCTGACCCCATCCCGACTGTCGTAGAACCGTCGTTCACCATGTCTCTCACCAACAAGCTCGCTATCACCGATGTCGACCTCAAGGACAAGCGTGTCCTGATCCGGGTATGTTGTTGTTGCCCCGGAAACCCCCACCTTTTCATCAATCATCATCGTGGGGTCGAGGTAGTGCTTCAATGCTAATCAGTCGATTCAATGGATAGGTCGACTTCAACGTCCCCCTCAATGACAAGAAGGAGATCACCAACAACCAGCGTATCGTCGGTGCTCTGCCCACCATCAAGTACGCCATCGACAATGGTGCTAAGGCTGTTGTCCTCATGTCCCACTTGGGCCGCCCCGACGGCAAGAAGAACGAGAAGTACAGCCTGAAGCCCGTTGTTGCCGAGCTCGAGAAGCTGCTTGGCCGCAGCGTTGTCTTCACTGAGGACTGCGTTGGCCCGGAGGCTGAGGAGGCCGTCAACAAGGCCACTGGTGGCCAGATTGTTCTCCTTGAGAACCTGCGTTTCCACGCCGAGGAGGAGGGCAGCTCCAAGGATGCCGAGGGCAAGAAGGTCAAGGCCGACAAGGAGAAGGTCGCTGAGTTCCGCAAGGGCCTGACTGCTCTTGGTGACGTCTACATCAGTAAGCAATCCTTTTCTCGCCTTCCCATCTCGGGAGGCCAGTAGTTCACATGAGGAGCTCTGTACTAACAGAACACCACAGACGACGCTTTCGGCACTGCCCACCGTGCTCACTCTTCCATGGTCGGTGTTGACCTTCCTCAGAAGGCTTCCGGTTTCCTCGTCAAGAAGGAGCTCGAGTACTTCGCCAAGGCTCTCGAGAGCCCCCAGCGCCCCTTCCTTGCCATCCTGGGTGGTGCTAAGGTCTCCGACAAGATCCAGCTGATTGACAACCTGCTCCCCAAGGTCAACAGCCTGATCATCACCGGTGCCATGGCCTTTACTTTCAAGAAGACCCTGGAGGGTGTCAAGATCGGAAACAGTCTCTTCGACGAGGCTGGCAGCAAGATCGTCGGCGAGGTCGTCGAGAAGGCCAAGAAGCACGACGTCAAGATCGTTCTCCCCGTTGACTACGTCACCGCCGACAAGTTCGCTGCTGATGCCAAGACTGGCACTGCCACCGATGCTGAGGGTATTCCCGACGGCTACATGGGTCTGGATGTTGGCGAGAAGAGTGTTGAGCTCTACAAGCAGACCATTGCCGAGGCCAAGACCATCCTCTGGAACGGTCCCCCCGGTGTCTTCGAGCTGGAGCCCTTCGCCAACGGCACCAAGAAGACCCTTGACGCCGTCGTCTCCGCTGCTCAGTCCGGCTCTATCGTCATCATCGGAGGTGGTGACACTGCCACCGTCGCCGCCAAGTACGGCGTCGAGGACAAGCTCAGCCACGTCTCCACCGGTGGTGGTGCCTCTCTGGAGCTCCTTGAGGGCAAGGAGCTGCCCGGTGTTGCTGCCCTGTCGAGTAAGTAAATCTGAACAAGACATGTTATCACACTGGATATGCGGAGATGCTGCATGACAAAAATTCGTCCCATGTTTCTTTGGAGGAGGATGAGCTGTGGTTGAGCTTCCATGCTCTGGACTAGTTGGACAGGCGGGCTTGTTGTAGTACCCTACCTGTCAGCCTTCCCGGCGCCCCCTAAAAATAGGGGGACCACTTTACGAATGTAATGTACAAAGAATGATAATTAATCTCAACAAAATACGCGTTTTGCCTACATTATATTCAAGAGAGGTTCTGATGATGCAATCTCTGACTAGTGACGGGTCCGAAGCTGTGAGCGGGAATTCAAATGAAGTCGCAATGAGGAGGTCACAAAGATTGAAGTTGATAGTCGGTGGGTTCGATTCGATGCATCCAGTAATGGATGTGTGTAAATAAAATCGTAGAAAGTACATAAACGTGCTTATGCAGCACATACACCGCTTCCAGCAAAGTGCAGCAAGCAAGCAAGCCTGCTACCAGATCTCCCACCGTAGACGACGACGTAGTTAGTCTCTGCAGACGAATCAATCCTCCCACGAGCGCGCATCAGAGCTAGCCACTTAGCCACTGGACCGGCACCAGCCAAAGCAGACAGACAGACGAATCTCTTTAATCAATTAAGTTCTATCGACAACTGTTTCATCGATCCACTACCGAGCCGCGTGAGGGTAAAAAGCTGCACGTGTAATCAAGTTGATTAATGCTTCGTGGAATTTGCGTGCGTGCGTGTGTGTATGTGTGTGTGTGTGTGTTCATCTCAATTAAAACCGACAACCCGTCCGTCATCTAACATGAATTCTATTAATTAGACGCTCCGACCTTCTTCAGTTCCTCTCTGTAGATTTGAAAAAGAAAAACATGTTAGTCCATCATCTGAGCTTTATATGGGTTGTGGAAATTGATGGGGGAGAGTAGAAATATTGCGCCCATGGAAAATTGACCGATGAGGGTTGGCTTGGATTTCGGGGAAAAACGTACTTCAGTTGCTTGGAGAAGTCCTCGGCCGCATCGTCATCATCCCAGCTCTCCTCCCACAGGTGAGCGCTTGCGCCGTTGGCAGCAGCTCCTTGTTCGGTTTCCTCCTGAGGCCAGTCTGCAAGTGGTGAAAAAAAAAGCCCCGAGGTCAGCGCAATCCATCATTCGTAAGATTCATCATGCCGGCTGTCTGTCTGGGCTGGAAGCGGAGCTAGCTCCCTCTTCTGCATGACAGGGAAGACCAGCGGTCTGTGTGTGTGTATGTGTGTGGTTTCATGGCTAACCTTCAACGGGGAAATCCTCAAACTCGTCGTCTTCTTCCAGCACGGGGGGCTTCTGTTGCTGTGGCTGTTGGGTAGGCTCGGCCTTGGTGTCCTGGGTCGCGGTGGGATTCGACATGATGGGTAGGAGTGGGATGGGGGGGGAAGGGCAGCGGACAGGTGTCTTTAGGGAGGTGAAAGGAGGGGTTGTACGAAGGAATCAAAGAGAGAGGAGGGGAGGAGGAGAGGTGAGGAATGAGAGATGACAGATCAGAAGATCGAAAGTGGCGGTGGTGGGTGATGTTGGTTGTTGGCAAGCAAGGTAAATGGAATGTGAGAGAGAGAGTCGCGGCGGCGGAGGCGGAGACGCAGGCGATGGCGTCGGTTCAACTTTGGCTGGGCGGCACTACTGGACTAGTCCGCAGTCGGTCAAATCGACCTGACGACGTCAAGCTTTATTGTTGCTCCTCTTCTTCCCCTCCAGTCTTGCCGGACATACCGGACATGACCCCAGCTCCCATTCTGTCCAACGTTTCCTTCCTCCCTCCCTCCCATTCGTGAGACATTTAAATACGATCCCCTCTTCCCGATGCGCTAAATCACTGGTTCGTGATTTCTGAGAGCCTTGTTCGTGAGCAACTCCCGGCAATTTCCAGTCAGTTGCTCCGCCTCGCCGCCGCAAAGTGGACCGTGGGTTCGACGCTATTATTGTTTCTGGTCCCCGTTGCTTATAATCCCCAGGCCATCCGGCCTAGCCCTTGGGTCGGAGTCGCCTCTTTTTTTTTCTACTTCCGTACAATTTGTTCGCCTTTGGACTATTCTTATTGATTCTTTTGCATCTCCCCCCCACCTCTCTCTCTTTTTCTTGGGTTATGGTCCCGGAGTCTCGCTACGTCCCTGGTGCGTATCGAATGGGAGATTCGATCATCTTCCCATTCCATCTACGTCTGCTGCGGGGCCCTTCGGTTCTTGGTTAATTGATCGCCATACGTCTCGTGCACAACTTCCTTTCTAGTTTTATTCTCTACTTTGCAGGCCTGGTTTTCACCGGGCTCCCTTCTTTTTTTTTGGAATATGTTTCGCGTAGGCTCCTGGCTCTATGGCAAGAAGCCGGCCTCCACCCAGTCGCTGGACTCTTTGTCCGAACTGCGAGATCGTGAGTGAGCACAGAGGTCTTCTCAGCCCCGTCTAGGATGCGACTAATGCTGACAATCAATTATTTGGGACTTAAAGTTGAGGATGCTTTGAGGGGTATGTCCAATTTTCCATGCGTGATCGAATCCCCGCTCTTCCGGGGTCAGTGCTAAAAGGCGCTATGCTGACTGAACGGTTGGGCAACCAGCTGCCACGTTAATCCTCAATGACGATGTGGACGGCGCCGAAGACGGTCTTTCCGAAGGAACCTCGTCGTTTCATAATGTGCGTATGCCTTTGGCTTGGACAAGTACCTGCCGATCTTCAAAGTCACTAGCTCTGTAGTGCCTCTGCTGATCTACAACTCGTGCCTGGTATATAGCTTGGCAGAGGTGTCGTTGCGTTCATCCGGGCCACACTGGGTTTCGAACAGGAGATCATGCGTCAGGGTGTGTAACCAGTGTGACCACTGTCCTGTTAGAGGTGTCCTTGATGACTGATGTTCTATAGCCTCGGAGCGACTCAATGCCGCGGAGACGAGTGCCGCCAACGACCAGCATCGCGCACAACACAACTCTCATGCGCCCAATACGTACCACTCACAAATATATGCTCCCGGGACGGAATTTGCGCTCTGCCAGGCCATGGCGCAGCTCATGAGCGCCGTCGTCGGCGTCCTGAATGAAAGTCTCACGGAAAGTATCAAAGGATTCTATAAGCTCAGAAAGGCCTATATCACCCTAGACGCTATTCTTAAGATGGAGCAAAAGTTCATCTTGCAGGCGCGGAACTCCGGGGACACTACCTCTACGGAGAGTTTGCCACGGGGTGTTGGGCAGGGAGCGGGGCCCACGTCCGTTCCTGCATCGCCGGTAGAGCCTGGCGACCTGAAGAAGGAATTTTCGGATCTTTCAATTTCTGCGGACTCGGAAACATCAGCATCAGGTCCTTCTGGTATGTTGAGCCATGATCCTGATTCGGACATTTTCAAGAATCAGATCGACGTGTTCGTCCACTCCGGCGCCAACTTCTGCTTCGGAATCCTTCTACTCCTAATCTCAATGGTCCCGCCCGCGTTCAGTAAGCTTTTGGGAATCATTGGCTTCCATGGAGACAAGGAACGCGGATTGAGGATGCTTTGGCAGGCCAGTAAATTTCACAACCTGATTGGCGCCCTCGCCGCTTTCTCCATTCTTGGCTATTCAAACGGCTTCGTCCGGTATTGCGATATCATGCCTGACCCCGTCCCTGGCGATGACGTGCAGGGCTATCCCCAGGAACGGCTAGAGGCCTTGCTGGCCCTGATGCGGAAGCGCTTTCCGAAGAGTCAGTTGTGGCTGTTGGAAGAGTCACGGATGAGCGGAGCAAACAAGAAATTAGATGTTGCCTTGGAGCTGCTCTGTGGAGAAGACCGCAGTCCACTCAAGCAGGTCGAGGCCCTGAGGGTTTTCGAACGGAGTCTGAACGCCATGTATCTTCACAGATACGAGCTTTGTGCGGAGTCTTTCCTCGAGGTATGCTGTCCTGATTGACGTATAGAAGATCGTAATCAGACTGACCATTACAGTGCGTCGAACTCAACTCTTGGTCTCGATCACTCTATTACTATATTGCAGGATCGGCCCATCTCAGCCTATACCGAAACGTTGCTGGAACGGATGCTACTGCGGCAGCTAAACACGCTGAAAAGGCCGTGGAGTACTTCCGGAAGGCGCCGCCATTGGCTGGCAAGAAGAAGTTTATGGCTCGACAGCTGCCGTTTGACGTCTTTGTTTCTCGCAAGATCGCCAAGTGGGAGGCTCGCGCCAAGGAGTGGAAGGTGCCCTTGGTGGATGCCGTGGGGGTGGATCCAATCGAAGAGATGATTTTCTTCTGGAACGGACACAGTCGTATGACGCAGGAACAGCTGGAAGAATCCATGACGAAGCTGGCGTGGTCCGAAAGCGATGCCAATAAGACATGGTCACGCGAAGGTACGGAAGAGAAGGCTATCTTGCAGCTCCTGCGTGCAGCTGTCTTTCGTGCCATGCGCCGGCACGATGAAGCCAAAGAGATCATTCGCACGAGCATCTTCAGCCAAGACAAATCCCAGTTCACTGGACATCTCAAGGATGATTGGATCTATCCGGTGGCACACTTCGAGATGGCGGCTAATTTGTGGATGGAGCGCCCGACCTACAGTGCTATCCACGGAGGACCGAAGTCGTCAAGCGAGAAACCAGCTGCCGGAAGCACCGAGAACGATACACAGCTAGAGCGTCGCCAAGTGCACGAATGCAAGGAGCACCTAGAGAAGGCGGCCAAATGGGAGAGCTATGAACTAGACGCGCGCGTTGGGCTCAAAGTGACGGCCGCACTGGAGGCCGTTGAGAAATGGGAGAGTGCGCACGCGACAACATCCGGATGAGGATGGATGATTGATGTATTATGACGCTGTACATTTACCGCCAGCATTGGAACATTACGATAAGACATTAAAGGGATAGACGGAGCAATCAATGCATGTGTTTGTTTGTTTTTTTTTTTTTTACAAGGGTACCCTGACCACGTAGGAGCGACAATTTTAGATACACACGACCCGCCCGTATCTTTCACCTCGTCTAGACCATAGTAGACCTTTCTTGAAATCTTTGACCGACAGTTAGACTTTCTAGCGGTGGTGACGATCACCGTGGGTCGGATAAGTTTCCGGCCCTGTCACCTATCTGCCCCATCGGATACATCCGTCCCTGACAAGCGCTCTCTTCTTGGCCGGGTAGAATTGCCCTGTCAGGCTGGGATACGTGCAGGATGTGACTCATGATGCGTATAGGGCGATTCGAAAGGACCTGATTCTATCCAGGAAATTGACGTCGATCCGGCAGACTGTTCTACCGAATTGGCCGAATCAGCGTGCGGCAAATGCAAAGAAGCAACATTGGAGGGTCCCGTTATCGGACGTCCGATACTTATGACGCTGCTCCCCGGGTAAAACGGCTTCGGGCTTCGGTTCCACGCCAGTGAAGAAATGTGCCTTAAAAGATACTGGCATATCCTGCCCTGACTGAGAGGAGATTTGGATTTTTGCCTCCACTTGTTGAATCATTCAATTCATCTTGTCTCAGGTACTTGCTCAAACGTGTGGCGGTTGAAACCTCATCTTGAAATATTCCTATTGCATGTTCGGCAATTATCTTATCCCACCTTTACTTTTCGGAGATTCGGAGATTTTTTTTACATCATTTTTATCGGGGACATTTTCTTTTCTTTTTTCTTAATTCCGTCCCTCTGATATCATATTCTCCTCTCGCATATGCATAATAGTGACTCGAGGGATTCTATCTACCGTCAATCAACTCGGAATTAAATCAATTGATTTGAATAAATTATAGTACTGCTTTGCTGCTCTTCAAGATGTCGCGACACGAGCACTCCCGCTCATCGCTCTCATCCGAAGATGTCGAGTCCTCCGAAGACCACCACAGCGCATACGTGCACCCGGATGACCCGACTGCATTGGAGAAGCAAACCACCGCGGCATCGGGCATGTCGGCGCTCGAGAACCGTGCGCATTCGGTGATCTCGCGCATTCGCAGTCGCGAACCAGGGCAAACTGCCCGTTTCACGCATCCGCTGTCGCATACTAAGACCTCCGAGGACGTCATTGTCGACTTTGAAGGGCCGGATGATCCGTATAGGCCGATGAATTGGAGTTTTCGCAAGAAGGCAATTACCACGATCTTGTATGGATTGACTACTATGGGTATGTGCTGTTGCTGGTATACTAGTTCGAATCTCTTTAGGTGATGTTGGTGCTGACAAGTGGGTTGCGTGCGATAGGTGCGACTTGGGCTAGTTCGATGTATGCTTGTTGCTTCTCTACCGTTGCCGCAGAGCTATATTCCAGGTACTGACAAAGCGCAGTTTCTCCACAGGCACCAAGCAAATCGATGCGGAGTTTGGCGTGGGAGAGGAAGTCGGGACATTGGGTACAACGCTGCTGTTGTTCGGTTTCGGTAGGTCCTCCCATCTATTACCATCATTCGCTCTCTGCGCATAAGCTGACCTAGTCAGGACTTGGTCCCCTCGTATGGGCACCTCTATCCGAAGTCTACGGACGCAAGCCCGCCGTCCTTGCGCCGTACTTCATCGCAGCCATCTTCTCCTTCGGCACCGCCACAGCCAAAGACCTCCAAACCGTCATGCTGACCCGGTTCTTCTGCGGCTTCTTCGGCTCCGCGCCCGTCACCAACACCGGCGGAGTCCTCAGCGACATCTGGACCGCGGAGCAACGCGGCGCCGCCATTGTCGGCTACGCCATGGCAGTCGTCGGCGGACCAGTGCTCGGTCCGATTGTCGGCGGAGCCATCTGCCAAAGCTACCTCGGC